GCCTGCCGCGGCGGCGGCGGCGGCGGCGGCGGATGCTGGTGCGTCCGATGATGCGCTGCCGGTCTGGATGGCCCCCGTCGGGGCGATGAGCAGGGAGGATGCAAGCGCCAACAACAGCGCGAAGCAGAGGGCTCCGCGACTGCTTCTGCTCCTGCTCCAAGCAATGCTGCTGCCGCGGCACATCGACGGTGGGCTGCAGCGCCCGCCGCCGCCGCCTGCGCCGACGCTGCACCAGTCATGCATGCTGCTGCAGGTGCTGCTGCCGCTGTCCCTGCACCCACTGCCGCTGCCGCCCCCAGCCCTTCTTCTCCTGCCACTGGTCTGAACGCAATCGCCGCCGCCTCCGGCGCCATTTCTGGTCACACCTGGGACAGGCAGGCCCCTTTCGCGCCCGCAGCAGGAGGCGCTTGCCGTGGCAGGTACCCAGGCTGTTGCTTGCAGGGCTGCGGTCCACAAACTAGACACCTCGCAGGCGTGCTCGCGACACAGAGGCATGGCCGCGGCGTTGCCCCGCAGCGTGCCTGCCAGCGCCGCCGATCCCGTGTTGTCGTGCGCCGCAGCACCCACGCATGCGGCGTGGCGAGTGTTGCTGCTGCAGGAAGCCCTTTGCCGCCCTCTCTTTTCACTCCCAGCCGCTGGTGCTGGGCAGCGGCGCCGCGTTTGGGCGTGTGCGCGCTGCACTCCGCTTCGGTCGCTGTCACCCGGGCGGTGACTCCTGGCCCCTAGCGCGGGTGTGATAAAAAGATATGTCAATCAGCTGGTTGTACGGGCGCTTCACACCGCCCGAGGACGCGATGTCTATGGCAGCCGGCTCCCTGTGGGGTGGCTTGGGTCGCGTTGTGTGACCGCCCAGATGTTGGAAAAGACACGTCGAGTGATTTAACATGCCACTCATCCGCAAAAAATCCTACTGTAGCTCCGGGCTGCGCTGGAAGGACGGGCCGACGTAGCTGCCCAGAGGCTGACGCCGCCTCTTTGGCGCTCGGGCCATCCCCAGGTGATCCGCACGGCTGCGCGGCCCGGGACGGAGGCGGCTTCAACATCAGGAACACTCCTGTTCCTTGCGCTTGGGCATCAGGGATGCCACCTGCTGTCACCCACAGGGAGGCACTCAGGCAGGCAGCAGGTCGCCTCGTTTTGGTGGTCATGTGCGGGGG